TATAAAAAGGCTGTTTTCTTTGAATTTATTGTAATCAACCGAAGATATAATGAATTCGACAATAAATTCAACTTTTGCTGAAAACAATAATGTTAGTTCTATTCTGTCTACAGTTCTATTCTATCTACAATGTTAGTTCTATTCTGTCTACAATGTTAGTTCTATTCTGTCTACAGTGTTAGTTCTAATCTGCACAATGTTAGTTCTATTCTGTCCCCTTCATTTTTACTTTTCTTGAGCATCATGCACTCTTTTCTCTTGGTCATCCTCCTCCGGCCTACCATACTATGGGTTCAAAAGTGGCAGGCACAGCGACGAACTCCGGCGTAGTCGAGGGCGAGATGGGGAGCGACGGCGAGCTACCGCGACGAGGTCGGGCGGAGGAGAGGAGGGGAGGCGGCGAAGAACTCGGGGGAGGCTTGGGAGCCTGGGCGGAGGTGGCGACGGCGAGGAGGGCGAGGGCCAGAGCAACGAGCTTGATAAAACCCTTGTTTTTAAAGAGAGAGAGGGGAGAGAGAGGGGGGAGAGAGAGAGAAAGAGAACTGGGTTTGAAGGATTGAGGAAAGGGGGTAAGGTTATTTTGAGGATTTTAGCTTAGTTAGCATGTAATAATTGTTAAAAAGGAGCTGCAGCACAAAACGTCACACTTCAAGGGGCTGAACCACATGGGGGCATGTAATAATTGTTAAAAAGGAGCTGCAGCACAAAACGTCACACTTCAAGGGGCTGAACCACATGGGGGAAACTAGAAGGGGCTGCAGCACCAAGGGGCTGAACCACATGGGGGAAACTAGAAGGGGCTGCAGCACATGAAGTTTATGTTTTTGGGGCCTGAACACATTTTTCCCAAAAAAAAAACAACAGTTTACTATATATGCATTATACAGGCATTTTTGAGGGACCCTCCGTTGGCTTATCAACTAAGATTGTGGAATGTAAAGGTGCTTTTAGCAGTTTCACAGAACTTATTTTAGGTGGTAATTTTAGGCGGTGCGAATGGTTCTTTTATAGGCCAACATTTATGCGGTTTAACTTCGAAAAAAGAAGAAAACATGCATAGATTTCAATAATCCTATGAGAAAAAGCTGCAACAAACAAAAGAGAACTCTGATAGTCTTTTACTGAATCAACTGAAAAAACAAGCGGCCTAGCCACAGTGTCCCACGCAAAAGATTTCAAAATCCTATAAGCGAGCTGCAACAAACAAAAGAGAGCTCTGATATTCTCTCCTGAATTAACTGAAATAACGAAGATAAGCCTCGAATATTTCATAGTTCTCCACAAAACAAGCAATCGGCATAATAACAAACATAACTCAGTTCCTAAAGCCCCTGCTGTTCCTCCTACCCCTAGCCTTTTCAAACTTCCTCCCCTTTGAACGGACATAAGGCTTAGTATGGCTGTGTGGCACACCAGGAGCTGGACCAAAGTGCTTCACTGCCTCCCTAGAGTTCTTCGGTCCCCTGAGAAGAACCTGCAAAATTTCAAAAAAAAATACTGTCAATAAAAAAATGCATTTAGATGCTAAAGCTAGTACAAGAAGTTATACATATTAGAAAGTGATTTTTAATCAAAGATTAGGGCTAAAATGCTCTAAGATTCTGAGAAGGCTTTGGATGTAGAAGTAAAACAGATGAAAAACACGAATACCATCCTGCATTTATTTGAAAGGCAAAACCAAAAATTACTAGCATAAAAAACTTGTAAAGGATGGTGTTTATGAAGTTTGTGAGTAAGAATCTTAGTGTTATGCGCTCAGTGAATTGATGCCAGTTGGACAATAACAATCCAAAAAACAAAAACACTAGATAGATGAACATCCAACAATGGGAAAGTATTAGCAACCAAAGGAACCCTGAAGATAATTCAGCTCAGACATTGTTCGTGTATCTACTCCTTGATATTCCAAAATAATGGAAGATCTCATAGAGCTGGGATTATACAATATCATCATCACCCTTAATAAAGATTAAATAACTAATTTAATACAAATTAATCAATCAAAAACAAGCAGAACCATGAGGAAGAAGGTTTAAAATACAATGTGAAACTTTCTAGAATGCCATCAAGAAGTTTTGTCGAAACTAATATTCAGCTCAGACATTGTTCTTGTGTCTACTCCTTGATATTCCAAAGTAATGGGTAATCTCATAGAGCTGGGATTATACAATATCATCATCACCTTAGCAAGAATAAATCAAAAATATACAAATTAAGACAAGCAGAACCACATGAAAGAAACAAGGTATTAAAATAAAATGTGAAATTCTCAAGAATACCATCAAGTCATCAACTTAAAAATACAATATAAAAATTATTATATTTGGCTCAGACATTGTTATTGTATCTACTCCTTGATATTCCAAAATAATGGAAAATCTCATAGAGCTGGGATTATACAAGGTCATCATGGACTCAACAATGATAAACAGGAAAACCAATACAAATTAAGCACTCAAAAGTCAAGGAGAACCACATTAAAATACAATATTTGACATTCTTAAAAATGCCATAAACAACTCAAACTACAATATCAAAACCTATCACGATAGCCACTATACTCCATCCTCAATCAATCACAACTGTCCTAAGACCCTTCTGTAAAAGAGAAGGCCACAGACCTTTGTTCATACAGTATAATTAAAAAGAGTTTCTTAACAACAACGAATGTCCTTAATAAGATTCTGACCAAATACATCTACAAGTGTCATCAGATACCATGAAACAACTTGTATAGCTTACAAAATATTCAAATTGTTCCTCAATACTAAACTTACCAATATATATTAAAAGCCGTAATAATTAGTTCAAACATATAAATGATTCCCTCAGAAAGAGCATAACGATTAATCAGATTATCAGCATTAGCATGGTCTATAAGATCCTCATAGGGAATCAAGCCAACAGACATGTAACCATGAAAGGAAAAAAAGGAAAATAAAGTTCAATTAAAACCATGTTTGAAAAACTATCTTTGCAATCCTAACAAAACTAACCAAACTGCTAAAATGAAAAACAAAAAGCAGATGAAAAGAAATTTTCTATTAACCAAGATACAGTTACGAAACTAAATAAAGCAACTAGAAATGATAAGGTTCACTAAAATGTAATTATAAACCAAGAAATAAAAGAGGCTAAACGAGCAAACAAAAAGCTCAGACATTAAATAGTTCCATTCTCTGACCTTCCATTTGATGGAAGGTCTCATAATGAGCTGGGAAAATTTATCATCATTGCTGTACCAAAAAAACTCAAATGTCCAAAAACAAAGGAGCACAACAAAATAAATAGACCAAAAGTTAATAAACCCGTCACCTACAGGGTAGGTAACATCAAAGCTAATATTAACAATAACTCCTAACTACCTGACAATTTGAAATATTTCCAATGTAATTTTTACCTTTACAACTACTTTTTTCAACTTCTCAACAAAAAAACATATAAAACCTTCCAAATTACCTGTTCAATTTCATCATCAATAAAACAATCAACCATAAATGGTGAAGTCAGTAAAACATACCCATTAGTGCACACAAACAGCTACATTAAATAATTAATCAGCAGACAAGATTGTTGTATAGGAAAAAAGTTCAGAACTCTTTATCGCAGAACAGTGGCCCTTAAGAAACAGGTATTGTTACTAACAAATAACTTATATATATTACGAAGATGGATTCATGTGCTACATAAATGCTAAAAAAATATAGTAAGACCAAAAGGGTCAAATTCATACCGTGTTTTGACCAAGAGGAGCCCTAAGAGCAAGCTGATCAAAGGTTAAGCACTCCCCACCAGCCTTAAGAATCCTGGCCCTTGCAGTCTCCGTAAACCTCAAAGCCGCTACCTTTATTGCAGGAACCTCATAAAGCCTCTTATCATCAGTCACAGTACCCACAATTACTGCAATCTTGTCGTCCTGTCAAGATTAAAGATTAATTACATCATACTAGCAAACAGAAAATTAAATGACAATGACCTGAAATCTCAGTCAAGAACACCAAACTAGATTGTTATGAGATGAAAATTGATTACAATTAAACTTATTGTCAACAGATGAAAAAAATGTATTGAAAAAAATCAATTAATAGGAACCTCCAAGTGATCTAACTATTTTATATTAGGGAAGAAGGAACTAATCAGTAATAGGTAATATTTTGAAGGGTGATACAACATTTTCGATGTTAAATCAAAACTAAGTATAAAATGCTAAAATCCATATATTAATTATCAAATGAAAATCATAAAGATAAACTTAACAAAAGTTGACTTTTAAGGAATCTTATTTTCACCCTTTTTAAGCGTTTCAGTAATTCCATTTCATAAAGGAAAGCTGTCTTTGGATAAAAAGTAACTAAATGCAGCTACTATACTCTATCTAGAGCCGACATTCATCGCCCATTAATACTATTGACTTACACTTCTACAGAAGCAATACAAAAAGATTAGATCTTTACAAGAAAAATCACTAATTTTGTGCGTGATTTATACCTTTCCTTTCATGAAGCTAACGAGTCTCTTGAGCGAGATCGGGGGCTTGTTGGTCTTGCTCATGAACAACCTCTTCAAGATCACAGCATTGAAGCTGCTCTCAGTCCTTCTCACCAAAAACTTATACAGCTACGAAATGGCACAAAAATAAAGATCAAAACACAAACTAATCAGAAAAAAAATTCACGAAAACAGAGTAAAAACGACAAAACTGAGCAATTCGAACCTTGACGAGGAGCTTGAGGTACGGATCATCAGATTTGGGAGCGGTGCGCTTCGTCTTCTTGCTCCTGCCGCCGGCGACGAGATCGATACCCTGCAAATGAAAACAAATGGGAGTTAGGGTTTGGATGGAGAAATTTAGGGTTTCGTTTGGTTTTTTTTTTTTTTTCCCCTCAAGAAGGATGAGGAGATATTTACCATTGTGAGTTGATGCGGCTACCGCTCGCAAGGGCTTCGACGAAGATTATTTATAGAGGGAGTGAGGGAATAAGATGGGGGCTAGGGTTTGTTAGCCTGCTTCCGCTAATCGGGTCGGGTTTCATTTGGGTCCATATTTGACCCGGCGTGAGATTGATGCTGGCGTGTTCCTTTTTGGACCGACTCTTTGCCATTTTAGCCCATTAGACCAGCCACCCTTCTGATTAAGGATTATCGGAAGGAGGAACACCATGTAGGATGGGTGATGTGTTGCGTTCACGGATCCTTACGCCTCGTTTGGTACGCGAGAATGGACATAAGTGAGAATGGAATGGAAGAAGGAATGGAATGGATTGTATGTGAGAATGGAATGGTCATTCCCATTCTCATGTTTGGGTACTTTTGTAGAATGAGGCTAGAATGAAAATCTCGCTCTCATTCCCATGTTTGGTATCATTTGTCCACAAGTGAGAATGGAATCGCATTTTCTAATAATGTCCTTACAACAACATATATTTTTAATAAGCTAATAATGTCCTTACAACAACATATATTTTTAATAAGATAAAAATAAACATTAATGATAATAACTAAATAATTTTATTTATGTTATACTAATTTCTGTGCATGTTATACTATTGCGCATGTTATCTCTCAAGTGTATGTTCTATTTATATTTTTTAAACAATACTCACTATTTCTTAGTCTTAAAAAATTAAAGAAAAATAAATAAAAGATTATCGCATCTTTCATAGGTCCAAAAAAAATATAAAGAATGATATCCACAGTTGATGCATATTGCATATGAAAAGGATGTCAGAATTACTAATGTGGAAATCAGTTGATTAATAGGGGTATAATTAAAAAATAAATAACTGATTTGATTCTCTCTTGAATGGGAATGACCATTCCCTATCTTCTCACTTGGAATGCTCATTCCCACAAAAAGTGAGAATGGTCATTCCCTAGGAATGGTCATTCCAACATCTAAAAAGTGGTTTGTTTGGTATGAAGGAATGGGAAGTGAGAATGCCATTCCATTCCACCCCATTCCCGCCTACCAAACGAGGCCTTAGAGGATTAGTTTGGTAATTATGGCTATTAAATCAATAGTGTGAATTATATCACTCATATGGGAGCAGTTCTGATTAGGGGAGGAATGAACCAAATAATTGACAAATAGTTCGATAATTGTTTGAGTAATTATTCGGTCATATTCGATTCGGCGGTTCATTTACTGCTAAATAAATATTTTTTAGTATTCGAGTTTATTAACGCATAGAAATTAACCACGTGTATATTCGATTCGTTTGCCTATCAAATATTCATTTAAAATTTAATCACTCGTTATATGTATTATTGCACATTAGATATTATGTTTTTAATCCACTTACCATTTCTACTTTAGTTTTATATACTGGTTTTAAGGCTTAAATAATCTTAAATTTATTGTCTAATAAAAAAATTGATTTAAAAAATATATACATCATATAGTATAAACGAATAATTCTCATTTATGAATTTAAATACTATTTAAAAATCAAATTCTTTAGCGGAATAAATGTACTTGGATATTCGATAAGTATTCGTGAATATTCATGAATATTTATCAAATACCAAATATTCAAATTCAAATTCGTAAACCTCCAGATATGAATATTAGAGTTCGCATTCGAATTCAATAATTTTAAACAAATATAAATATGAACACCTTAGTATTTAATTTGATTCAACCATTTACCATCCCTAGTTCTGATGAGACCTCTATCGCCTTTTGTTACTGATTAATGTTGTTGTATAGTAACAATGAAAAAATGGACACGTAACTAGAAATGGTATTTCTTAGAAATTGTATAGAGTAAGGAGAAAATGATAAATTTTTTCATTATCAATCTTAAAGGTGGTCATGGTTCTAATTTCTGCAATGTTTTTCCTGAAAGGGATGTTCCTATAGGATTTTATTTTCCAAAGAGTCCAAAGTGAGTGTAATTCCTATCAGAACACCTCACCATGTGGAGTGTTCTGATAGGACAGGGGGCAGTGAAATATCACCTACGTGTGGCTTAAAACACCTCGCATGGTGCGGGGCATTCTGAGAAAACCCGTACTCGTCCACAGTAGAATACAACTATATGTCTCATGTGCCTGTCTTTATTTCTATAAAAAAAATGACATGCGCTAGTCCATAGTAGGATGCAACTATATGTATATAACGTCTGTATTTATTTACCATACTTTAATCCATCCATATAAACATGGAGAATACAAAACATGCTACCAATTTGATACATATTATGGTACGTAAAATACATAATGATTTGATATATTTAACATACATTCATCTATGATATCAACCCCCACAGTGTACTATTTCGATTATATAGACCATTGAAGTACAAGCCCTCTTAGGCATTCAGATGCCCTTGTATTAGGAGAACTTATTTTTGAAAAGGGTGATGTTACAGTGACCCAAAAACATGAGATCCTACATGGTACGAACAGTGCATCATGGGACAGGAAACCGACACACGTCATCTGTCCCATGTAGGGTCTCATGTTTTTAGGTCCCTAAATCATTTTTCTTTTGAAAATGATCTATTGAGCTATGATTTGTTAGAATTCTCCTCTTTATACACTGATTTTTTAATAATAAAAAAATTCAAATCCAACATTCATCGCTGCAACTCTATTTTCTGTCAACTAAACAGCCCTTCGATCGTCACGTAACAGATCTTTCGTTTACCAGTCGTTTTTGGGTAAAGAGCATGATCTGAGGAGTCATAACTGTACACCGCGACCAGTCTGAGCCTCTGGTTTCAGCGACTTCTCTTTTTCTTGAACTGACAGGCGAGACCAACAAGAAACTGGAAGAAATTGAAGCAGTGCGAAATCTAACACAGACGATCAATCCATAAACCAACTGCAGGTATATATTATGAAGCAACCAAATAGCAATATATCTTATCAATGACACCCTTTTCTCGCAAAGATACTACAAAATTTCACAAATGGTTTCTCAAGAGGTACGACAAAATCTATGCGAACTGCACTGAAGATTTCCCACCACCAGATGAGGTGCATTAGACAGTTGAAATGTTCACCGAAAAAGTCTTCTTGAAACATGGAGGTGCTCAACACTGTATCCTACTTATTCGAGTCGTTCCATCTGCATAAACAGAAGAAAATCTACTCATTTTCCTTGTACAAATAGATCAGGTGTGGATTTCACGAGATCTGTACAGTTAGGAAGAAATTCAAACATTTGCTATTGACGACAATCAATGAATTTAATATGTACAACTTAATATCCAGGAGAACGATGCAACAAAATTGACATCAAATATCCAGGAAACTAGACATATAAAGAGCCAACAAACATAGAAGAAATAAGGGGGTAAATGGTAATATACTTTTTTCACACAGAAACTCATCGTTATATCAACTTTTCTCAAAGTAGCCATAAAATTTTAATCCAACAAACTTAAAACACCCAAAAACACAAATTTCAACTAAATTAAGAAAACCAGTTATGTGTTTCTCCCTATATACCATGATTGGTTCTGATGAACTTGCTAAATAAACATAAGAACTCTAAAATAACAGCATAAGGTGTCATGGCCAGACTCTCAAACAACTTCACCTCAATAAACTTTGGCCTACCTAACAAAAAGGGTAGTTTACAACTTCCCTTCTTCGTTTTATGTCTGACATAATCCCTAATGCTCATCCAAGCAAAGTATTATGGAAAACGATGATGGTACACCCTAATAGATTTCATGTTCTTGCAATACTAGGCTGTAACATAACAAACGTCTAGTTGAAAGTAAACAATCAAAGACATCAAGGCATCTAGATATGAAAACAAGTGGAAAAATTATCAAACCAGAAAATATTGGCCTTGAAGTATGAAAAATTAACATAAATTAACATCTCAACCCACTGGACAATACAGAGTTTCTTAATTTCATTGAGATAAAAAAAGAAACTCCACTTGTCTAACAAAAAATTCAATGCACAAAACAAATTAATTTATGGTTGTACAAAAATAAACTCAAGACTATCTACCTTCCAAAGGCCATCATTTAGATAGTGCATGTTATCAACACCAATCCCCTTGTTGATAGCCCTTCTGTATAAATAAACCAAAAAGTACACACATATTTAGTGAAGTTAATTGTGTAACACATAAAATTCAAATTATGCAAAACAATTTGATGATGAAGGGCAGGGCCTGTAATCAAAGTCACACTATTCCATGGGAAAGCACTAACAATGTTTATTTTATTTTGAAGTGCGGGGTATAAGCCAAGTGGCAGTACAGCCAGTACTAGTCTCATGCAACAAGGAAATAATACTGCCAATATATCTTTGATAATTACAGGTAACAAGTAAAACCTACATGTCTTTTGCTGACATTTTCGTAAACCCGATTGCCAGAGCATGTTGCTTTCCTTCAGCCATTATTGCCTGAAATTCATTGGTTGCATAATCAGCCATTTGTCAAGCTTAAACTCAGAAAACAGACAACCATATGAAGCCCAAATTTCGTCAAAAAAATAAAAATAAATATGAAGCTCATAAAGCGCATATTTAGATTTGTTTTGGTATATTAGATTTTTCAAATAGAATTTTAATCAACCAGGTCCAATTTTAAAAGAAGCATAAAGTTTTTAACATATTAAATTTGTCGGCGCATGCGATGCACATGTCACGAACCGCTCCATTTTGGCTCAATTGGGTGCATTTGGACTCACTCATTAAAGGTTGGGTCCATGAAGTTTCTTGGGTTTTCTAGAATTTTCTTACATATGACAAATATCTTGTATCTAGAAGATTCAAGGAAAGTCTCATGTAAATATCTAGGGAGATATTTTAGGAGAAGAGTCTAGAGACTCAATCTTAACCGTTGGATGTAGGAACAATCTAGAAGGCTAATCATAGCCATTCATTGTAAACTAGCCTCACCTATAAATAGGGGCTAAGGCATTTCATTTGTACCAAGCAAGAGTTGCTAAGCAATAAAGCAATAAGAGCTTCCACTTCCACTCTTGAGTGTTCTCTTCCCTTCTCTTGAGTGAGTGTTTGAGGGATTAGGCTGACTTAGCCATTCTAGTGAGAGAAAGAGTGACTAAGTGCCGCACGGGTTCGAGTGAGGTTTGTGGTGAAAGAATCAGCCCGTGACATTTGGTATCAGAGCCAAGGTTCGGAAGTGATAATGTCGAGCTCCGACCTTCGTTCCGAAGTACTTGGTGTGGTGGATCCGAAGGATGTTCCAAGGCAACGTAGGGATAAATCTCGTGACATCATGACGACGTTGGAAGCACGGTTGGCTAAGGTAGAGCTTACCGTGGCGGATAAGATGGAGGCTTTCGACGAGCGCATCGAGAAGCTGGAGTCTGCGGGAGACGAGCTTCGGGAGGAGATGCAGTCGGCCTTGAATTCCGCCGTCGACATGCTACAACAAGGGATCGCCTCCGTACGTGAAGAGTGTGCATTCTTACGGAGCCAAGGAGAAATGTTTCTGAAGGAGATGGTTGAATTTAGAGAAAAGTTAGGCCAATATGATGCTATCTTGGCAACTCGAGGTATGACTCCACAACCCTTCATGGCTAAGGATACTCCTAAACCGAAGCCGTATAAAGGAGCTAGGGGTGCCCGAGAGATTGATAACTTCCTATGGAACATGGAAGTATACTTCAATGCTGTCGGATATAGGGATGATGCATCCAAGCTCCAAGCCATACCTCTGTATCTCGAAGACATCGCTACGTTGTGGTGGCGTAGACGATGTGAGGATATGAAAAAGGGTACGTGCTCCATCACTACTTGGGAAGAATTCAAGGCGGATCTGCAGCGGCAATTCTACCCGGAGAATGCTGAGGATGAGGCACGAGGTAAACTCCGTCGCCTTATTCAAAAAGGTTCAATTCGTGATTACGTGAAAGAATTTTCAGAGTTGCTGCTAGAGATCGCGGACATGGGCGAGAAGGACTCTATATTCTCGTTCATGGATGGCCTCGCGGGATGGGCCAAGATGGAGTTACAAAGGCGTGACGTCCAGAATCTTGCCCAAGCAATGCAAGTAGCCGAGTCGCTGATTGAGTTCAAGAAGGTGAACAACTCGTCCAAGCCAAAGGATAAAAAGGGTACGCTTATTAAAGGTGGGGGAGAGAAGGATAAGCCATCCAAAGAATTCCCACCTAAGTCAACGTCCGAGAAGGGTAAATCCTATGACCACTCTAAAGGAGGTGACCGTCCAAAAAAGTTAGCATGCTACTTCTGCAGCGGTCCACATAAGGCTATGGACTGTCCCAAGAGGGCCAATCTTGCGGCCCTATAAGGCTATGGACTGTCCCAAGAGGGCCAATCTTGCGGCCCTAGTTCAGAAGGAAGAGGAGAAGCAAAATGAGGAGACCCGAATCAACTCACTTCGTCTCCTCAATGCAATCAAGGCAAAAGTGGATGCAAGACCTCGAGGGGCGATGTTCATCGAGACAACCATTTCCGGCAAAACCTTTAAGGCCCTTCTGGATACAGGTGCTTCTCATCTCTTGGTTTCTCGCGATGTTGCTAGTAGGTTGAATCTTAAGATCACCAAGGGAGGGGATATCATCAAAGCTGTCAATTCAAATCCCACTCCTATCGCTGGCGTGGCTCAGAAGATGGATGTGAGCATCGGAGAATGGTGCGGCCAAGAAGACTTGACGGTCGTGACCATGGATGACTTTGACGTAGTGCTTGGCTTGGAATTTTTGGACAAGGTAAAGGCCGTGTTGGTTCCATACACCAACACAATGTGCATCCTAGAAGGCAAGGCGTGCACAGTTCCGATCAAGCGTGAGAGTGTGACTTCTAAAATGCTCTCGGCCTTACAAGTGTCCAAGGGCGTCCGTCGACATGAGCCAACTTTCATTACTACAGTCAAGGTGGAGGAAGACTTACGCCAGGGAGAAGACGTGCCCAAGGAAATCCAATGTGTCTTGGAGGAGTACCAAGACATCATGCCCGCTAAGCTGCCTAGTAAGCTTCCACCTAGAAGAGAGGTAGATCACAAGATCGAGCTTGAGTCTGGAGCTCATCCCCCAGCCATGGGTCCTTATCACATGGCGCCACCGGAGTTGGAGGAACTTCGGAAACAACTGAAGGAGTTACTGGATGCCGGATACATTCGCCCGTCCAAAGCTCCATATGGTGCCCCGGTATTGTTCCAGAAGAAGCATGATGGGTCATTACGGCTATGCATCGACTATCGGGCATTAAACAAGATCACGGTGAAGAACAAGTATCCTATTCCTCTGATTGAGGACTTATTCGAGGCAAGATACTTCACTAAGCTTGATTTGCGCTCAGGATACTACCAAGTGCGGATTGCTGAAGGAGATGAACCAAAGACGATATGTGTAACCAGGTACGACTCTTATGAATTCCTGGTTATGTCGTTTGGTCTCACCAATGCTCCAGCAACATTCTGCACCATGATGAACAAAGTGTTGGAGCCTTTCCTAGACCATTTCGTGGTGGTCTACTTGGACGACATTATGATTTATAACCAAACCATGGACGAGCATGTGGAACACTTGAGGCAGGTGTTCCAGACGCTTAGAAGTAATGAGCTCTATGTGAAGAGAGAAAAGTGCTCGTTCGCACAGGAGGAGGTGGTCTTCTTAGGCCACATCATTGGAGGAGGCAAAATCCGCATGGACCAAGCTAAGGTACGAGCCATACTAGAGTGGGAGCCTCCTACCAAGGTGACAGAGCTGCGATCATTTCTGGGCTTGGTGAACTACTACCGAAGATTCATCAAGAGCTACTCAGCATTGGCGGCTCCACTAACAGACTTGCTGAAGAAGAATCAGGCATGGGATTGGAGTTCAAAATGCCAGAGTGCATTCGAAGGTTTGAAGAGAGCTGTGACGGAGGAACCAGTTCTCGCCCTTCCTAATTTCAGCAAGCCCTATGAAGTGCACACTGATGCGAGTGACTTCGCAATTGGAGGGGTGTTGATGCAAGAGGGACACCCCGTGGCCTATGAGAGTCGAAAGTTAAATGACGCCGAGAGGCGGTACACCGTTCAAGAAAAGGAGATGACGGCCGTAATCCACTGCCTTAGAGTTTGGAGGCATTACCTACTGGGATCCAAATTTATAGTGAAGACGGACAATGTGACCACCAGCTATTTCCAGACTCAAAAGAAGTTATCTCCTAAGCAGGCACGATGGCAGGACTTCTTGGCAGAGTTTGACTATGTGCTCGAGTACAAACCGGGAAAAAATCAACTTAGTGGCAGATGCGTTAAGCCGGAAGGCGGAACTTGCTGCTATGGTGAGTCATCCTCAGAGCACCTTACTTGACCGAATTAAGGAGGGTTTGTCTCATGATCCTACAGCCAAGAACATGGTGGAGTACTCAAAAGAAGGCAAAACTCGAAGGTTCTGGCTAGATGGAGACATACTTTATACAAAAGGGAGACGGGTGTACGTGCCATTGTTCGCTCGAAGGTTCTGGCTAGATGGAGACATACTTTATACAAAAGGGAGACGGGTGTACGTGCCATTGTTCGAAAATTTAAGGCGGAAGATCCTTAAAGAATGCCATGACTCTCAATGGGCGGGACATCCAGGTGTGCACAGAACTCTAGCTCTTGCAGAAGAGACATATTATTGGCCTCGCATGAGGGATGATGTTGAGGCCTATGTGAAGACTTGTCTTGTGTGCCAACAAGACAAGACGGAGCAGAGAGCGCCAGCCGGACTGTTAGAGCCATTACCTATTCCGGAGCGACCTTGGGAGAGCATTTCTATGGACTTCATCATGGGTCTGCCAAAGTCAGATGGATGCAACATTATTATGGTGGTGGTTGACCGGTTCTCCAAATACGGTATTTTTATTCCAGCCCCAGCTAAATGTCCAGCCGAGGTAGCAGCACCACTATTTCTGAAGCACGTAGTGAAGTATTAGGGGCTACCAAAATCCATCGTAAGCGATCGGGATGGCCGCTTCACAGGGAGATTCTCGACAGAGCTCTTCAAGCTCATGGGGTCAGATCTAAACTTCTCCACTAGCTTTCACCCTCAGACAGATGGGCAGACGGAGCGGGTGAACGGCTTGTTGGAGGTATACTTGAGGCACTATGTGAGTGCCAACCAGCAAGATTGGGCGAAGCTACTAGACATAGCTCAGTTCTCCTACAATTTGCTAGGGCTGGGCATATTCGGTTCGGATCGGTTTTAAGCTCAATCCGCATCCAATCCGAATTTTTTGAATTCTCAAAACTCTCATCCAGATCCAGATTTTTTTCCCTTCATCCGAATATTCGGCCCAACCGAAATTCGGATCGGTTCGGATCGGTTTCGGTTTTGGACCGAATTAATACTATTTCATAAAAATCTGCCCACACCTGAGATCATTGCTTATTAATTTCTGATGAAGTATCATTATTTATCCATTTTGTCTACTTAACTTTTTCCCCCAAACAATGAAATGTGGAGCTTGTTTGAAGTAACATCATTGCCACAGCTAACAAAAAACCGAAATCAGTGAAATGAGCGCAAACCATATCAACAAGTACATATGGTTACGTAACATTCAAATATTAATTAACTATAATCAAAAGGTTATCTTTCATTTCTTGGAAAACAACTTAACATGCCTCTAGTAGAATTTGAAAGCTTATATGAGGTTTCACCGATTTTAATGCGGGCATATACGCTAGCAGGCCCAATGAAAAAGGAACTATACAATATAAACATGTATGTAAACATAACAATCAAATTACCGAGCAATTATATAGCTTAATGTTCAAGTGATGACTCACTAATAAGAAAGCTATTCCATCCGACTTCGTCCGAACCAAAAGTCCTTTCCATTTTGACCGAATTCCGAACGACGAAGTCCTTCCCATTTTGAGCAATATGAATATCCGACAAAGAACGAATTAGAAAATTCAGTTCGGTTTTTTTTTTGGGCGGTTCAGGGGTTCAAACCGGATCCAAACCGGTTTAATTCGGTTCGGGCGGTTTAGAGTCTTCTTCTCATCCATTTAATCCGGTTCGGTTAACCGACCCGCTTTTTCGGGCGGTTTTTTCGGTTGAACCGGTTTTTTTCGGTTTTTGCCCACCCCTACAATTTGCAAAGGAGTGAGTCTACCGGGAGGAGCCCATTTGAGATCGTCACAGGTCAACAACCACTCACTCCAAACTCTATTGCTACAGGCTATAAGGGAAATAGCCCAGCCGCGTACAAATTTGCCAAGGGGTGGCAAGATCAGAATGAATTGGCACGCTCGTGCTTGAACAAGGCGGCAAAGAAGATGAAGAAATGGGCCGACAAGAAGCGAAGGCATATGGAGTATCAAGTTGGAGACTTGGTCCTTGTCAGGCTTTCCACGTTAGATCGACATAAAGGGTTGCACAAGAGCTTGATACGCAAGTATGAAGACCCATTTCCGATCGAGAAGAAGGTGGGGAACGTAGCTTACAAGGTAAAGCTTCCCCCAACCGTGAAGTATCATCCGGTCTTTCATGTGAGCATGTTGAAGCCATATCATCAGGACACGGAAGATCCAGATAGAGGAAAGTCTAGTCGAGCGCCAGCCGGGATTCGCATGGAGTTCAACAAGGAGGCCGAAGAAATTCTTGCGGATAGGATGGTTCGTGAAGCCAACAACCACCCGAGGTTAGAGTATTTTGTGAAGTGGAAAGGCTTGCCCGACAATGAGAACAGCTGGGAACCGACGCGATCCTTGTGGCAGTTTGAAGACTTGATCGAGAAGTTCTGCCGGGAGAAGGCTAAGCGATGAGGGCATTGCTCGGATAGGTGGGGGAGAATGTCACGAACCGCCCCATTTTGGCTCAATTGGGTGCATTTGGACTCACTCATTAAAGGTTGGGTCCATGAAGTTTCTTGGGTTTTCTAGAGTTTTCTTACATATGACAAATATCTTGTATCTAGAAGATTCAAGGAAAGTCTCATGTAAATATCTAGGGAGATATTTTAGGAGAAGAGTCTAGAGACTCAATCCTAACCGTTGGATGTAGGAACAATCTAGAAGGCTAATCATAGTCATTCATTGTAAGCTAGCCTCACCTATAAATAGGGGCTAAGGCATTTCATTTGTACCAAGCAAGAGTTGCTAAGCAATAAAGCAATAAGAGCTTTCACTTCCACTCTTGAGTGTTCTCTTCCCTTCTCTTGAGTGAGTGTTTGAGGGATTAGGCTGACTTAGCCGTGACTAAGTACCGCACGGGTTCGAGTGAGGTTTGTGGTGGAAGAATCAGCCCGTGACACACACGATCATAAAATCTTAACATGGATCTTACTTGCCTAATCAAGTGGGTCAGTTATGAATATCTGCTTCTTATAGAAAACTTATAGGCTTTATGTTTATGATTATAAGACAAAGGCTAAGAGGCTATTGCTAATTTGATTCCTGATCTGGGGCTTCGTTCTCAAATTGACCCCCTACTTTCTTCTCAACTTAGTCTCCATACCCTTTGTTAGATGTAAACTTGTCCTATTTTAACTCTATGTCAAAAGTTTTGTTAAACATAAATTGAAAGGATGATACGACCCTAACTGTTATTGTGCATAAATCATATCATAAAAGGTTAATCAACTGGATCCCTTCCCTCTATAATTAATGCAACCTTCCCCCTTAATGTAGATTAAATCAATGGCTCAAAGAAACTTATAAACATTTTAAATCAATTGTTCAAAGAATACAAGCCATAAATCAATGGGCAGAGGCTATATGGCATTACCCGAACAACTGGATATTAAATGTTTTAATTGAAGACCAAATATGTGATGGTCAGCATTGGCTATGCAACAAGTTCAAACATCAATTAGGTGTCTTCTGCTACAATTTCCATTGAAGATTTATTTGATTGATATGCTAAATCTACAGATTTGACATAATTTATCATAATCATCATTCTGCTAGAACATCCTAGAGAACTATCATTGCAGACAAAATGCGGAGTTCTAAACCTTCACCTAACTGGTTATTAAACCTCTAAATTAAAGTAATATTTAAGCAAACAGTTTCTGTCAAACGCCGAAGAACAGAACACAAGATGCAAGAGAAGAAAGGAGATAAAAAACCAATACTCGTTGCTTTAAAAAAATTTAATAAGGAACATAACCATATGACAACACCCAGTATGCAAACTGAAATAACCATTTGCTTCTGTAATTGACAATAACTGAAACTTCAATCCTACATCATAGGTTTGTCATTCTTGACATAATTTAAAAAATACAAAACAGCTCAATCTTTATCAAAGAAGGCGGAAATGACCGCTGTTAGTCTGTACATTATGTTATCATATAAGTTGAATAGATATTACACATCAATGAGGATAATATAGTCCTAAACGAAAAATTAACAAGGATGTTAAAAAAGGACTTAATTTGTAACTATGGTGTGTTACAGGGACTGAGTAGAAAGAAAAAAAAGGAGGGGGAGCAATTTGAGAAGGAAGCTCTGTAGAGGGACCAAATTGGCCTTTTAGCCTAAGACAAATAATGAACTAGTCAATCGTATTCAATTAAGAAGTTTAAATATATTAAACATCATAATTAAAGAACCTTACTGGATTTGAAAACCTTAAAACTAAACAAAGTTGACCAATATATGTGATTCCAAAGATATTAAAACAGATTGACCGAAAAGGAAGTGCAAGGAAGCTGGAAAATTAAAGCCGGAAGCCAAACTCGCTCTTCTGTATTGTATAGCATAGATTTAGGAATAGCAAAATGTCATCTAGTCAAAAGTTTACAATGTAACAATTTGACAAAGAAACATAATGGATAGCATAATTAGGTTGTAGAATATAACACAAACAGATAAAAAAAATATTGAAAAGCATCAAGTCCGTAATGCATAATAGGATAATTCTACATATATTATAGGTTCTGTCAAATAGCAAGATGCTAATGTACTATCAAAAGTAACTTCGTACCACTGGGGATTCTGCAGGTACATCATCATCCAAAGAACCACCAGGGGATGTAAGGCCAGGGCACATTATGTTTGCACCAGAAAGGACAAATTTGATTGCACCCCTATCAACTTGTAACTTCTTCATTATATCTGGATCTGAAAAGAGAAGAGGCAAAAAGTCAGAATCAGATGTAAAAAGGAGAACTAAAACCTTGTGATGAAGATCAAATAAGAACCTAGAAAATTATACAAACAGAGAGGAGTTGGTTAAGAGTAAATTTTACATTGATGAAGAAGCCTTAGTGTTGGCATGTAGGGGCCATCACGAATATTGAAAAACAGTGGCACATTGTTCACCACAACAAGATTCAAGTGGTTTTGACTAGAAGAAAAAAACAGTTATTGCAAGGTTAGATTCTTGACCATTAGTTAGCTCTCAACAACAAAAACAGACAAATCAGAGAAATGTGCATACAAAATTCCTTTCTAAAGTTAATTTTTTTTGTGACACATCACATGTTGTTTAAGACTCAGATTCAGTATGTAAAGTTATAAATAGTAAAAAACAGAATAACTAAGACTGGCACATCAGCTGCTTAATATAAGAACATTCATAATAAGTAATAGGAAATACTTGGTAAGAGAAAACATAAGAGATAGTTGCAGTAAATACTGACATCATGAAGTGTAAAAGTTCTTATGAACAATAAGAAGGATAACTTCCCTAAAATAGGGGAAAATCCTCTGGACAAGCTTTAACGATCAGTCATATTGCATTATAACAGTTCATGAGAAATATGACACTACCCTTATCAAAGTAATTTAAGGGATTAAGAAACTCATCCATACACCAATAATCTCTATATTCATCAACAAAGTTTATAACAACAAATGACCGTGGGCAGCAAGAAACTTCATACCTACCTTTATTAAAATCTATGTCACAGTTCCTAGTTCCTACACGTACATGTTCATGCTTAATTATTGAATGAGAAAACGAGATAGGACTTAAACATTGGTATTGAGAGGTAAACAGTACATGATAAGGATCTGACCATTTTACGACAATGAGAGGTGATTTCTTGGGGAGTAGGTCATCCATCAGAGGCTCAAGGCCAGGATACTAACATGAAAGTGAAAAGCTCATTAGAAGCATATAATCTCAAATTCAAAACTATACATTTTAGACGTACTGAATACCTCATCTGTGATGCTTTGACGAATCTTTCTCTGTACAGATGCTTTCACTTGATTTTGCGCAGATATGTCTTCGAAGGTAAATCTTTAGAGCAAAGAGAAGTTTAGATAAGGAAAATTACAGAGCAAAACAATTAAATTCCACGGTCAATGTTTTTATTTGACCGCTTTTCCAGACACATGATTCTTGCAAAACTCCAAGAGAAAAATTGCAGCAAAGGATTTACATTCACTCCTAGCCTTGCTTTATTGTCTAAATTGGGTGATCAAGCCTAATTATACGTACATTCACAATGGATACGCACTGACACTGTAAAGACTAAGAAGATAATAAAATAAAATAAAAATCATATGATTGGGTAATTTCATTCTATGGTGCACGCAGCTGAAAGTAAACGGGTTTTTTAAGATCACCACATTCTATCTACTTTTAGCTCACGAGATGTGTAAACTAGAAATTTTCAATCCATGTAACTTTTGATTCTCATGAACTTTGGAATGTGTCGGTCATAATGAATGAATGGTCAATGTGCACCTAGTTTGCATCGCATACACATTTGTGAGTGTGAGATATTGCTTACACTTACTTATATCATGAAGAAGAAGAAACCACAAAATTTCTTACGCGTGTTCTTAAAAAAAATTTAGCAAACATTATCATTAAGCACGAGGTAGATATACGCCCACCAAAAAAAATTCAGGGGGGCAAAAAAACATTGCTTAAAGTTTTCAATCTTTTGATCAAAATGAAACCTTTTCTACATTCTACGGCTAATTGTATAGTGCCTCCGCTTCGGTAAAGATAAAAACAATCAAAACAAAGCACGGAACCAAGGATTTACACATTTGGGGTCAAAAAAAAAAGGGAAGCTCGGTGTTTGCTACTTCATAGAATCTGGAAAAAAAATGAAGTTCACAAATTTTGAGGGGGGAAAACGAAAATTTGAGAAAAAAGCTCACTTCTTGAACATCTTGATCGATATGGGATCGCCCAAAACCCCGATCTTCTTCCGCTTGTACGAAGGAGAGGGGATGAAAGATGAAGTCACCCGACCTTTTATTAATGGGCCAAGTTGGATCCGAAAATTTCACTTCCAGCCTGCAACTAAGCCCATAAAGGTTGACAATTTAGCCCAACGTCAAACAGCCTTATAATGGGCTTGCCCTACCTACTTGTGATGGCATGAATGGAGCGACGACAATGAAACGGATATGAGGATACCGCACTTAACCCAACTTATACAATATTTTATGTTAGGTTCTACATTTTAATGTGAAAAACAAATGGGTTTAGAGATTAATGGGTATACTTGTCATAGGAGGAGATTTCCCTCATTGTCGCCTATGTGACACAATCCCCATAATCCTCATGAAGTAAGCACAAATCTCCACCAACTCACACACATTATTTCTTACTTTATGAGGATTGTGCCACATGTGCGTCAAGAAGGGAATCCCCTACTATGACAAGGATACTCATTAATCTCATGGGTTTATTATAGATTTGGTTTTAGACCTGCATTGATTAATGGAATGCCAATATTTTTCTTTAGTTTTTTCTCCTTTTTTTTTTCTTTTTTTCATTGTTGGCGGGGGTACTTCCTCATGATCCGAACTAGGAAATTAATTTACTATTGGTGCTTCCCAATGGAGTGGAACCTGAGGCTTTGGAGTACTATGCATTGATTAATGGGATATCCATAATTTTCTTTAGTTTTTTCCTTTTTTAAATTGTTGGCGGGGGAACTTCCTCACGATCCGAACTAGGAAATTAATTTACTATTGGTGCTCCCGAAAGGAGTGGATGTTGGATTTAATCTAATAAATCTATTTGTGGGCACATATGATTAATCAATGTGTATTGCTATCTTTCAGGATAACCCACTAAAGTGATCAATTAAGTTGGGTTAATGGGTATTTAAATATAATCATGGGGTTATATGTGCAGATACCAGGTTGTAATTGTGATTTATTGAGGGGCTAAATTACAAAAGTACAACATCTATAAATAAGGGGTTATGGTCCCTAACCTAGGGTTACATTCTCTAATTCTCTTCACCCCCATCTAAGAGAGAAATTCGGCTAAAGGAGAAAACCCTAAGGTTAGAAGATCCAAAACACAAAATCAAGATCAATCTATGGATTCAGGTATAAGCTTCCGCTTTTTTTAGATTCTTGTTAATCTCTTTGAATTAATCATGGCTATATGGTTTTTTAGATCTCAAGTTTTGATTGAATTAATCATGGCTATATGGTTTTTTAGATCTCAAGTTTTGATTTAGATCTAACAAGTGGTATCAGAGCCACCTTGATTAATTCTTAGGGATTTAAGTTTTATTGGGTTTTTGATCTTAAATCTCTGGTTAAATATTCAATTTTGTTCTCGGATGAACAGTAATGTTCGGTGAACAGTAGCAAAAAAATTTTGTTTGGATGAACAGTAAATTATTTTCGGATGAACAGTGACTGAAAAATCGTCAGTGAACAGTACCTTTTTAGAATTTTTTGGATTTTTCTTTGATTTTTTCTTCAATTTTTCTTGGATCTGGATCAAGAAATTTTTTCCGGTTCTAGATCTAGTTTTGAAAATAAAAATCGAGGAATTTTTTTGGGTTTGGCGGCGGTGGTTTCAGTTTGAAACCCTAAGGGTTCATGGCGAAAATTAAGGAGGTGGTTACCTCAAACGAACTTCGCAAGGGTTCATGGCGAAAATTAAGGAGGTGGTTACCTCAAACGAACTTCGCGTTCGTTCAATTTTAACCGAGCTTCGCGCTCAACGAACCTCGCGTTCGTTCTAAGGTGAACCTCGCGTTCAACTCAGGTGAGCGTCAAGCTCAATTTTAACGAACCTCGCGTTCGTTCCAAGCTGAACCTCGCGTTCAACTCAGGTGAGCGTCAAGCTCAATTTTAACGAACCTCGCGTTCGTTCTTAAGGTGAGCCTCGTGCTCAGAATTAAGGTGAGCCTCGCGCTCAAGTTTAATGAACATCGCGTTCGTTCTTAAGGTGAGCCTCGCGCTCAAGTTTAACGAACCTCGCGTTCGTACTTCAGACGAACCTCGCGTTCGTACTTCAGACGAACCTCGCGTTCGAACTTCAGACGAACCTCGCGTTCGTACTTCAGACGAACCTCGCGTTCGAACTTCAAACGAACCTCGCGTTCGTACTTCAGCCGAACCTCGCGTTCGTACTTCAGACGAACCTCGTGTTCGTACTTCAGACGAACCTCGCGTTCGTACTTCAGTCGAACCTCGCATTCATTTTTTAAACGAACCTCGCGTTCGTTCCCAAGTTGAACCTCGCGTTCTTTTATCAAACGAACCTCGCGTTCGTTCATTTTCAGACGAACCTCGCGTTCGTGCTTAAGTGAGTCTCGTACTCAATACAGTCGAACCTCGCGTTCGAAGTCAAGCGAACTTCGTGTTCACTATAGTTAAGCCTCGGCTTTTCATGGGTCCACTTTGGTATACTTAATTTATTCAATTAAGTTATGGGCCCTAATTAAGCTGTGAGACCCCAATTAAATTTTTGGAAATTCAGTTGATTTAAATTAAAATTTTTTAATTTAAATCTAATTCGGTTTTTAATCAATTATTTAATTCAAATATTATGACACTAAGGTATTAAGGTTGTCTCTCACTCCAATTGATTAATTGAAACAAGAAGTTGCCAAAGTAACCTCTCTTGTGTAGATTGTTCATGAGGAATGTGAGATGTTTGTGTGTATGCTTTCGTGTAAATATTTAATCGGCCCAAAGGAAGGTTAATATTTATTTAGACTGTATACACATCTGCGATGATAAGCGTGTGACAATTATAAGGTTTACATGTGAATAATGAATCGATCCAAAGATAGTTTCATTATTTGACATGAGTTATTGTCAATGTTTGATCATTGCAACAAGGTATCACTTACAAGTTAATATTACTGTCCAAAGACTTGATATTAATGTTGTGCCGGTATCTTGGATGGGGATTGTCATTATTTGAATTTTATTGATTATGGTTATTGATGTGAGCATTTTTGTTTTATTTCAGCTAATGCATCTGCTGCAACAATTTCTGCTAACATCAACTCAATTCCCATGCTAAATGGGACAAACTTCAAGGTTTGGAAAGAGAACATATTAATTGTTCTTGGCTGCATGGATCTTGACTATGTATTAAGAACTGAATAACCCCAACCTCTCAATACGGATAGCACTCCTGATGCAAAGAAGGAGCATGAGAAGTGGGAGCGTTCAAATCGCATGAGTCTTATGATTATTAAGCGCGGCGTTCCGGAAGCCTTCAGGGGCATAGAATCCGAAGGGATTATTAAGACTAAAGATTTTCTTGCCGAAATTGAGAAGCGTTTTGTGAAAAACGATAAAGTAGAAACAAGCACGCTTTTAGCTCGCTTGATTTCAAAGAAGTATAAGAGCAAAGGAAATATCAGGGAGTACATTATGGAAATGTCTCATATTGCTTCAAAACTTAAGGTACTTAAACTCGATCTTTGTGATGAGTTATTAGTGCATCTGGTTCTGTTGTCTCTTCCTGCACAGTTTAATCAATTTAAGGTCAATTATAACTGTCAAAAGGAGAAATGGACTCTAAATGAGCTCATTTCATACTGTGTGCAAGAAGAAGACAGGTTGAAGCAAGATAAGACAGAAAGTGCTCATTTGGCCTATGCCTCTAAGGATAAGGGCAAGAAAAGGAAGAATGATAAGGAAGCTGCTAAGGGTCCAGTTGAGAAGAAACAACATAAGGATAATCAGGGTTGTTTCTTCTGTAAGAAGCCTGGACATGTAAAGAAGGACTGTACAAAATATCACGCCTGGCGTGATAATAAGGGTACGTTCCTTGCTTTGGTCTGTTCTGAGGTTAATTTAGCTTCAGTACCTAGAAACACTTGGTGGTTAGACTCTGGTGCTACTACTCACATAAGTGTTTCTATGCAGGGTTGCCTGAGCTACCGAAAGCCAAGTGATGTTGAAAGACACATCTTTGTGGGCGACGGACAATCGGTAGATGTGGAAGCAATTGGGCACTTTAGGTTGTTGTTAGGAACTGGTTATTATTTGGATTTAAAAGATACTTTTGTAGTACCGTCTTTTAGACGGAATTTGGTTTCTGTTTCTGTATTGGACAAATCAGGTTATTCTTGTTCATTTGGAAACAGTCAATTCAGTTTATCTTTTAATTCAAATGTTGTGGGAACCGGTTACTTGAGTATTTATGACAACCTATATTTGCTTGATACAATTGCTTCTTACAATGAATCCTTGCATGTGGAATCACGTGGTACTAAGCGTAAATTAAATAAGGAAAATTCGGCGACATTATGGCATAAGCGCTTAGGTCATATCTCAAAAGGTAGAGTTGAGCGTCTTGTGTCTGATGGCATTTTGGATTCCCTTGATTTTTCGGACTTCAACGTATGTGTTGAATGTATCAAGGGAAAACAGACCAAAGTGAAGAGATTAGGTGCCAACAGATCTTCGGATGTCTTAGAATTGATACATACGGATATTTGTGGGCCATTCCCTACGGAATCCTGGAATGGTCAACAATATTTTATATCATTCATAGACGATTACTCACGTTATGGGCACCTATATCTTATTCATGAAAAATCTGAGTCTCTAGACATGTTCAAAGCCTATAAAGCTGAAGTTGAGAATCAACTCAACAGAAGAATTAAAACCATCAGATCTGATCGTGGTGGTGAGTACTACGGTAGATATGATGGTTCAGGTGAACAACGTCCAGGACCATTTGCTAGATACCTAGAGGAATGCGGTATCGTTCTACAGTACACCATGCCGGGTTCACCTAGCATGAATGGTATAGATGAAAGACGAAACATGACTCTTAAGGATATGGTAAGAAGTATGATTGATCATTCTTCTTTACCAGAGTCTCTCTGGGGAGAAGCACTTAAGACAGCAGCTTACATTCTGAATAGAGTACCAAGTAAAGCAGTTGCTAAAACACCTTATGAGCTTTGGACTGGTCGAAAGCCCAGTTTAAAGCATTTACATATTTGGGGATGTCCAGCTGAGGCAAGGCCTTATAGGCCAAATGAAAAGAAATTGGACTCCAAAAC